AGAAATCATCAGACATCAATTACTACTCTCCATGATGACTGTACCAATACTTCCCCACCAACAGTGCACAAAGGTTCTTTTTCACATTTTCTCTCACCCTTGTTTCTTATCTTTTATCATTAGGATAATTGATGCAACACTGATTGAGAATCCTGTGCATATTTTTGGAATATAGAACCACACCCCTACAAATGCATGTTGTCAAACCACACCCACCACCAAAGCCACAAGAGTCCATGCACTGCTTTAGACTCTCTCCCTACATAGCTCCCACCCTCGCCTCCTGGAAACAGCAATTCCCCGGTCAGACTCCAAGGGTTCGTTTGGTTTGGCTTAATCTTTGCCTTTCCTGGTTCGTATGTTTCATGTACGAGTGAAATCATCCAGTACTTGTTTCTCTGTTCTAACTTGTGTGCTTAGCACAGTCCCTCCAATTTCATGTATATTGTAGCACATGGCAAGATTACATATTTTTCAGAGCTCTGCTGTATTCCCTTGTTTATATCCACCATATCTTCTCTATCCACCCATCTCTTTTTGGTTATTGTAATAACTTGGTTATTGTAAACAATGTGACAATGAGTATGGGACATTATATATGTTTTCAATGAGTGTTTTTATGTTCTTCACTAGATACAGATTGCTGGATCATGTGGTATATCAATCCTTAATATTTCGAGAAACCTCCATACAGTTTACCACAGAAACTGCACTAATTTACATTGCCAACATCAGTACATCAAGCTTCCTTTTCCTCCACACTCTCACCACCATTTGTTGTTTCTGGACTTTTTGATAAGGGCTGCTGTCCAGGGCGTGAGGTGGTATCACATTGTGCCTTTAATTTGCATTTCCCTGATGGTAAGTGATGATGAACGTTTTTTCATCTGCCTGTTTGGCACCTACATATCTTTTTTGAACAAGAGTCTACTCAGCTCTTTTGTCCATTTTTATATTTGGTTATTTGTTTCGCTATTGATGATTTGCATGAGTTCTTTGTAGATTTTTGATATTAGCTCCTCATCAGATGTGCAAACACTTTCTCCCTTTTGGTAGAATGTCTTTTTAATTATATTTTCTCTGAAAGGAATGCTCCTACACTGCTGGTGGGAGAGCAAACTGATCCACCCACTATGGAAAGCTGTGTGGAGGTTCCTCAAACTACTAAAAATAGTGTTTTCATATGATCCAGCAATTCCACTCCTAGGAATCTATCCAAAGAACACAAAAATATTAATTCAAATGGATATCTGTACCCATATGTTTACTGCAGCACAATTTATAATAGGCAATGTGTGGAAACATCCCTAAAAGAGATGCCTGTATTGAAAAGATGTGGTATATTTACACAATGGAATATTCCTCAGCAATCAAAAAGGATAAACTCCTACCATTCAGAGTGACATGGATGGAGCTGGAAGGGATTATGCTCGGTGAAACAAACCATAAATTAAAAATATACATCAAAAAAATTATATATATACACACACATATATATATATATACACATACATATACATATATATATATAAATCATGTGGTCTCGCTTATAGGAGGTTAGGAGGTATGTAGAGGAACCAAATCAGGGAAAAAATTAATTACAAAAAAGTGAAAATCAAAATCATTAGGCAACTATAGATCAGAGATTGTCTATAGGCAAGGAGGAGAGTCATGGATCAGGACAGGGGTGGGAAAAGCAAAGAGGACCATGGTGACGGTGCACAGGGGACTCGGTGGTGGGAATTTCACAAAGAATTCATAAATTATACAAATAAAAGGATGATGTAACACATATATTTTAAATAATAATTTATGCAGTTTAATAGGATGTCTTTTTGTTGTGATGACATTTTCTTTCACTGTGCAAAACTTCATAGTCGCATTTACTTGTACTTTTATTTTCTTGGTCATTAGAGTGGGTCCCCAAACATCTAAGTCTCAGATATCAAGGAATGTTTCATCTCCATTTTCATTATATATCATGTAGTTTGGGGCCTTACATATTTGTCCTTAATCTGTTCTGCATAAACCTTTCTGAATGGTGTGAGGTGCTTTCATTCTTCCGTATGTGACTGTTTCCTTTACCATGCTACATTGTATGTTCTTAGCTCTCTATTGTAGCTTCCTTGTCCATACCCAAGCAGGGTTCTTCTGTCCTCCAAATTATGGCCTGTTGATTTGTGTGCTGTTTTTATTTCCATATCTTACTGTTTTCATGACTATTACTTGTAGTTTATTTTTAATTAGAAAGCCATGATACCTCTATTTGTCTTCCTTTTCCCCAATTGTCTTTGCTACTCAGGGTCTTTGTAGTTCCCAATAAATTTCCTGATTTTTTTTTTCTTGGTTCTAGTATTCAGAAGACCACCATTGGGATTCAACTGGCTTTTTATATTGCTTGATGTAATATCATCATTCTTGTGATGCTAATTCTTCCAATAAATCATCACAGGTTATTTCTCCACTCCTTTCTATTTCTTTTAACAGTGTTATATTTTCAGAATACAGGTCATTCATTTTTTTGGTTAAATATTTTTCAAGATATTTAATTCTTTATATGATTATAATTAGAATTCCATTCCTGGTTTCTTTTTTCTGCTGGATTACTATTTATATATCAAAATATCTATTTTATGTTAATTTTGTGATCGGCTACTCTTTTTACTGGAATTTTTGGAATTTTTTTACACATATGACCATATCACCAAATAATGTAGTTATAACTCTATTGAACAATAATGGAGTATATATCCTTATCAAATTAGAGGAAAAGTTTTCCATTTTTCACCATTTTGTATGTTTGCTTAATTTCAGTACATTTTTTGTGCAGCAAGACAGTCTCAACCGACAGTATAGGTATTCTATATTAAAAAATATCTATAGTTGCCATTCCATGAAAGGAGATCTAATCCGAGCTCAGGAGAAACAATTACACAATAATCACTGCTCTTTAAACAGGAATTGACCCTTTTGAGACAAATTGGGAAAGCACTTAATCCCTCAGGACCAGCTATCTCATCTAGACTCAAAGGAGTGTTTGAGATTCTGCATCATTTTCACCTTCAAATAATCAGAACCTTCTTCAAGTTTTTGCATAGATATTATCAATGATAAAAGTAAAAACTTTGGCCCTCCCTGGTGGCGCAGCGGGTTAAAACACTGCACTGAGAAGCTAAAGCCACTTCCACATGAGTTCAAATCCCGCCTGCCGCGGAGGAGACCACATGGTGAGGCAGACCTCTCCTGACCCGCCCGCTGCTCCCCTCAGCAGTGTACTTCGTCGATCTGCCTGTTCTGCTCCCCGCTCTGTCTCTGGTGAAGCTTCCACCGCCCCTGAGCCTCTGGCCTGTACCCCAGTTCTGTATGTACAAATAAATAAATCTTAAAAAAAAAAAAAAGTAAAAACTTTGATACGTTAGAATATTGCTTGATATCATTTCAAGCAATAACACTGTGTGAACATTTTAAGAATTAACATCTGAAGGCTAGAAATCAAACAAATTTTACTATCAACTTCTTACATAAATTCAAAATAACATATAAGTTAAGATCAGGAGATAAAAACATAGGGAAGCAGGAACTAGACCATCACTTCAAAATTTAGTCATGATATAAATTCCTTTTCTTCAATTTCTAATTGAAAACATTTTTCTAAGTTGTGAGTACATTTGTAATCCACTAGACCAGCACCAATAATTGTGTTCATTACTCTAGAGAAAATAAAGGCACTTAGGTATTCTGCATCTGAATCTTTTTTAGAATATAAACAAAGGCAATTACTGGCAAAAATAACACAGATTTATCTTGGTTTTATTGCATAAAATCCTGTATGTACAGGCTCAGGCTTTATTAAATCCACCAGTCTTTGCCTCCATATTTTAGGATTAATTGCATAAGTATCACTACTATTACATTCAGAAAAAAAAGACAGTCAAGCTGGTCACTGGGAAGACATAATTCTTTGCTCTTTGACTATCAGTTTGCCACATAAAGTGAAGGACTTTTTTTTTTCTTTTCCAGATTGTAACATCTGAGAATTACACCTTTCATTAATGAATGATAAATCGTGGGCTGTTAATCCCCTGAAAGTAGATATGGTGGGGGAGGGGAGGAGGACACTTTTAGTTAATAAGTGACAGAGCAACTTTAGACAGAGGCAAGACCAAAGAAAAAACAAATTACTATTCTGTACTGTCATAATGTGTGAATTGATAGACTGAGAAAATTAATAAAATATTAAAAGTAAAAATTTTGGTCTGGAAAGGGTTTTTTTTTTAGATATTTGTATAAAGGAACATACCCAGAGTAGAAGGTTTCATAAGACAGATAAACTAAAAAAGGGAAAAGGTTTAAGGTTACTTTTTTTGAAATAATGTTCACAAAGATTACATGCTGAAATAATGGAGTCCGTTCACATTCCCCTGAGCTAAATATATATAATAAACAAAACAGCTAATTTCTAAAATGATTTTGATTTTAATAATTGAAAACTACTATTTCATATATGATAGTAAGATTTTAATTGCTCTTTGAACACTCAGAAAGAATTCACCCTATTCATATTATAAAATTCATTTTCATTTTAAGAAATATTAATTACTAATTGACTAAAAATCCTGGATATATAAACTTTTGTAATGAAAATTTAAATATGTTAAAAACTAGATAAATGCTCTAAAATCAAACTGGCAGAAACTGCATTATAGTTTACCATTTCTAAGATATTTCTTCAATTTCCAAAGGGAAACCATTCTCATGAGCTCAGAATATTGTTCTCAATGTCATTCTCAAGCAGACATGTCTGTTCAGTTAAGCAGGTAAAAGAAGGGGTAGATACACATATCCAGACAGATAATTGCTGATTCTTAAAAATTTTTGTTCATGTGACATCTTTTAAAAAAAGAGAGGATAGTATATTAGAAGAAGTACAGTTTAGAAGTAGAAACAGATCAAGAAGTAAAATGGTGTAGAAGAAATGTAAGTAAATATTATTATGGTCCTTACTTCAATATTCCTCTGATGCCTTGAGAGGGGTACAATTTTGTGATTAAGTCAGTAAAGGCTTGGATGACTTGTTTATTCCTCAGAGTATAAATAAATGGGTTTAACATGGGGGAGATGGAAGTGTTCAATAGTATAATCCCTTTATTCATGGCCACGTCATCTTTTGCTGAAGGTTTGGTATAGATAAAGATGCAGCTGCCGTAGGAGATAGAAAGCACAATCATGTGGGAAGAGCAGGTGGAAAACGCCTTCTTCCTTTGCTGGGCTGATGGGAACCTCAGGATTGTTCTGATGATATAAGCATAGGACAAAACCACACACACAAGAGTCAGGATGAAGATCAGCACTGAGCAGATAACAATTGTCTGCTCTACGAGCCCAGTATCTGAGCATGCGATCTTCATCAGAGGCTGAGCATCACAGGCAAAGTGGTCGATGGCATTGGAGTCGCAGAACTCCAAGCCCAGTACCAAAATGTATACTGGGAAAATCAATGACAAAGTCATCATCCAACAGCAGAAGACAAGCATTTTGCAGACCCTGCGGTTCATGATGGTCACATAGTGCAGGGGTTTGCAGATGGCCACGTACCGGTCATAGGACATGACGGTCAGGAGAAAAAATTGTGTTACTGCAAACACATATATAAAATATAGTTGGCTTAGACAAGCACTGTAGGTAATGGTCCTGTCGCCTGTTGATAGATTGTATAAGTACCTGGGAATGCAGGAAGAAGTGTATGAAATTTCTAAGAAGGAAAAATTTTGGAGAAAATAGTACATGGCAGTTTTAAGGTGGTTATCCACTAACACGAGGAGGATGATGGTCATGTTCCCTGTTATGCTCAGCAGGTAGGCGATGAATAGAAATACGAAAGTCAGGATCTGCAGTTGCGGGTCATCTGTTAGCCCCAGGAGGATGAAGGTGTTTATGGCTGTGTGGTTTCTCATTCCTGACTCCTGACTTCTTCTCAGACTGGGTGGGAAACTGAGAGAAATGAAGCTGAAGACAAAAGGAAAGAACATTCTCTTCATAAGGAAAAGTCAAGTTGGAAAAGCCAAGTCATATAATTCATTTAACTTCATGAAGTAATTTCAAAAGCATGCTTTGGCTCCTCTGACTGTCACTTGAATGGTTTGAAATCTTGGATCCCAAACATTACAAGCACAACATAACGAGAATTACATTTTACATGCAATCTGGGTAAGATGTGTGCGCACATAACACATGCAACTGCGTATCTGAGCCAAATTTTCACGATTTAACCAACCCCTGGCTTCCCTTCTCAGGGGTCTCAATGAGTATTAGTGTCATTAAGTCAATATTATAATTGCTAACTAGTCATGACCAGTGGATTGGCAATAAGAGAATTGCTTCAAGATTCCTTCAGCAACAATATAGTCTAGAGACCGTTGGATCATCCACACATTTTCAAAAGCTTACTCAATCATTTAACCTGTGAAATAGATAACAGCTGTGACTGTTTCCACAGATAATCACTGGTGAACACTAGGAGGTGCTTTTTTCCCCAAACTTTCTCATATTCACTAACTAAAATTAGCTGCATTTCATCGACCGGCTGCAGCCTTTTCCCCTGGGTGACTCTAAGCGCCTGGCGCAGACATTCCTCTTCCATCTGCTGCTGTGTGGAGGACTCTACCCCACCCCCGCCCTGTGTGAAGCCTCCAATCACTCGTGACATCACACACCCAGGATCGCCTGACTCATATGCGCTATGAATACTTGAGTTTGATGCTTTAGCTTGATTTCCCCTGATGATCCTTTTTTATCTTTGGTGCAAAACAGAGAGATTTTTTCTTCACAAATGAAGGATGAATTCAGGAGAGAATGTCCTTCTGAACTTGTGACAACAGACATGATCCTTATTGATTAATGATTTCTGTTTTATTTGACTCACTCAAACATTGCTTCTCTTCTTTATCAAGTCATTGCCATTTTTATTATTGTGAAAGTATTAAATGGTCAAATTTAAATTTAAAATTTTTCCATAATTTTCTCTAATTTCAAATTTCCACTTTAGTTCTTAACTCTCTATGATATAGATTCTAGAGAGACCAGTACATTTAAAAAAAAATCTATGTATTTATTTAAATTTAAATGAAGTATACTCGCTTTATTTAACTTTTTTTTTATTAGACACCATTAACCCCACTTTATATATTCTGGATTGTTTCTTCCCTGATATCCTAATAGTGGTGTTTTTTTTTTATTTCTGATTTAGCCTTTATAGGTCTTTTCCCTAACTGCCTTTACAACATTAAAATTGCTCACATTTCACCCTCACTTCCTTTGGGACATTCTTTAACCGCCTGTGCTCTACCTTTGTTCTTTTACCTTTTATGTTTAAAATTTGACACAGAACCGATTCACTCATTATCATTCTGAAACATGAATCTGCATTTTCAGTTCTGTCCAGTTACACAGCTGGTTGTGAGTTCCGCTCTCTTCGCCACTGGTGCTCTTGTCTCACTCTTTACGCTCCACAGAACCAAAAACCAACAATCATTGCTCCATTTCACAGCTGAGGTCCTGTCATGTCACCTACGCTCACGCCCACTTCCCAAAGCAATTGACAGGACCATGTTCGCGCTTAGTTTTGCCACGTCCATGATTCTACTTTGAGAAATGTTTTAGGTGATTTGCTTTTCTTTTCCTTTTTTCAGTTTATTAGTTGTGGTTGTGGAGTTGTAGAGGCAGTCTTTTAAAGCATGTCACACTGTAATAAGCAACCACTTTCTATGGACTGTCTGCACAAAAGCCACCTTCAGAGTCTTCGCCATTCTTGTCCTCCCAGTTCTAATGCTGATTTATGTGACTCTTGATGACTTTTTCTCAGATTTTGTCTTAGGAGTCATTTGAATCACATGCACTCTGCACAGCAGGGCTTGACTGAGAAAAAAAAATGCCTATGACTCTGATACTTTACTGAAACCAAAGACTAGAATATTGCAAAAATAAAAAAATGAAATCTATGAACAAAAACATACTTACTCTCCTGAAAGTCAAAACTGGCTTTCGTTGCAGTCATGAGAGTCTGAAGATGAAAATGAAAGTGTGAGGGGAGTCAGCCTGTCCATAAACGGCCTGTCATGGGGCTGTATGTATTTCCACATCTTTCGGAACATCCGTGACAGTAGGTATCCACACGCAGAACCTGGGGGTACCCACTTCCACTGTAACTTTTGGAAAGATTCCTTGTACCTTAGGACTAGAATAAAGGCACTTAGTTAAAAGTCTGACAAATGCAAGGAGATTTCCATGTTCCAGAGGCAATTCCTAATATCTCAGGACACAAATTTTACACAATAAATATGGCAGTTTCATCATCTGTTTTTTATGAACATGCAAGGACCATCTGGGTGAATAAAGGGCCCAAAGTGCAAACATGATAATGACCCTAAGGAGAAGTGAATGTTGGCAAAGACCTGCAGGACGTCAGTGGGAGCAGTATCCTCAGGGACGATAATGCAACAACTTTGTCTGAGGAGAAAACAAAATTCTGGTATGATTTCTACTCAGATAAGAAACTGAACAAAAATTTAATATCAAATTTACAGAAAAATATATCTGTTACAGGGCATCCCAGTGTGAACTGGGCCTCCTGTCTATGGGACCTCACCTGTGTGCTTAAAATTCAGTTATACTGCAGGCGCACACAACAGGGTCAAAATGGGTTTATTTACAAAAGGTGAACAGAACAGGAAACAACAACTGGAATATTTTACCGGCTGGGCTGACTTGGAGCTCTGGTAACAAACTAACTGTAAAGCCCCCAGTCACGCAGTCTGGAGAGCCATTTCCCGAGCAAGAGACGCAATGGCGCCCTATTTAACCCCCAAAGTCCCAGAATGCTGCTGAGCTCCACCCCTGGGTCCTCGCAGTTCTCTCCATGGTACTGCTGGGAGTTGTAGTTTCCAATCACTGGAGCAGGGGGTGGAGTCCAGGAAACTGGAGTAGGAGGTGGAGTAGGGAGACTCCACAGGAGTCTGCAGAGTTCCTTTAGGACAGTCCTTGATTTTAACATCATTAATCCGTACTACATCTCTGGAGAAGTTTCACCATTTACTTGTTTGACGGTAAAGTTAACTAAAATGTTCATTTGTAATGGTCATGACGGTCAGTTTAAACAAATTCTTTGAATTCACCTCCATGTGGAGAAAATTTCCAAGAGCAGTGGATTGCTCATCTTCATTATAGACTCCTGGGTCTCTGCTTAGCAAATGAGCTTGAGCATAAACCTGTGGTTCACACTGGCTGTGGCCACACGTCCTGGGAGGACACAGGTTTTCTCAGAGACAGGACGGCTTGCACCTTCCTAACTTCTTTTTCTGAGTGCTACATGCTGTCTGGTTATTGGCATAACACTGCCCAAAGCATCATGTTCAGCATCAAATATTAACTCCCATTATTCAACTTTGAACTCACCACAAAAAGGTCCAATTTTTTCCATCAACACACAATTACACTTTCACCCTATTTGCCCATCCTCTACTACCCCTACATCACATGATGTTTATAAAAATAAATGTGTTTAGGATGTACTGTTTTTTTTAATATATTCATTGCAAACCTGCACTTCATGGCCCTCCCTGGTGGCGCAGCGGGTTAAAGCACAGCACTAAGAAGCTAAAGCCACTTCCGCATGAGTTCGAATCCCGCCTGCCCCGAAGAAGACCACATGGCGTGGCAGACCTCTCCTGACCCGCCTGCTGCTCTCCTCAGCAGTGTACTTCGTCGATCTGCCTGTTCTGCTCCCCACTCTGTCTCTGGTGAAGCCTCTCACCCTTCGCATCTCTGGCCTGTACCCCAGGTCTATATGAATAAATAAATCTTTAAAAAAAAAAAAACCTGCACTTCACAATACTGACTTGTTCTATCAGACTTTGCTGGATTGCAGGATGTCTGCCTGCTCATTTGTGCCACTCACCATCATGTGTTAATTTCTTCCCCAAAACTCCCTCATACTCACAGTCAGACACAGAGTCCTACCAGTTCCTTAACCCTATCAAGTTGACCCATGGAACAGTACAGTTCCCTTTCTCTTTGTGGGACATAGCTCATAACGTATCTTACAGCTGCTATTGTCATGGTGTCCTCCACCCTCACTCCCTAGTCTGTGCTGGTCACCTGCGCATGCTCAGGGAGGTTCATGCGTCCATATACATGGTCTGTTCAGAAAACAGCCTCCATGGTCCCCTAATGGAAGATTCTGGTACAGTAGATAAATTCATGTGAATTTTAAGTCAAGAAAGGAAGAATTGCTCTGGATTGTTACATGCAGCTTTGCTGCTCAAACAAAATTGGCTGGTCAGAACCTGGTATCTGGACACGCCGAAATATACGGTTTATTTAGACAACATTGCCTCATAGTAAGTCAGACAAGTATTTTAAGCACCTTACTGCCAGTCAGAAGTAAGCAGGCTTAACCCTGCGCCCTGGTATCTGACGGGCTGGAATTAACAGCCTTAGTAGTTTTTTCCCATTTCTCTGAGGCGCTGGCTTGGCAGCATTTTTGCTACTCAACCTCCTACATTCCGTCAGTGCAAAATTACATGCAGCGATAAGAATAAGACGTTGTAAATACCACAAAAGCACAGAACATAAACGCTACCTTTTTACAATGAGTCACACTTTAAGTAATTTTTTCATTTTTATTTTTTATATATCTATTTACATTATTGTTCATTTTACAATGACTCAAGATTGCTCCCTCCCTCGCCTGTCAACACCACACCCCCCCACATTCCTCCTTCCTTCTGATGCCTCTCTGCACCACCCCCCATCTGATCTCTCTGATTTATAATTGTCTGGGTTTTTTTGTTTTGTTGTGCTGTATTTTATTTTGTATTGTATTGTAATAACAACATACTTTCCCTCTCTGACTTACTTGGCTCTCTTAAATCCTTCCTACAAAATGTTCCTAGAATAC